TAAAGCAGGAAGCAACAAGTTCCTAAAGAGTTTTGTATTTTTGGGTGCTCCCTATCAGAAAGCCACTTTCAGGATTTCACTGCTTTACTCCATTATACAATATGTGTTTATTTCCAGCCTGGTTTTATTCAGTTTATAGACATTTCTTCTTGGTTTGCGTTGTCCTTTGGCTTGTTTTTCTGCCTCTAGTTCTTTACCAGCACAACATGTTTATAAAAAGCAACTGTACTGTGTCCAAGCCTTCCTTTTACTAAACCAAGCAAGACATATTCCTCCAAATGCTGGAGGCAGAGCCTCTTCTGTCTGCCCGGGCAGTTTAATAGCACTTTTCTGTGCCAGCTCAGTTTACATTCAGCTTTCCTGAGCAGGACTGATGTCAGTGATACCCAGCATCATGTCTCACACCTCCTGCAAACACTTCACTGAACGTGTGATGAGATTCTGATTTTTTCACTGCACAAATCCTTCCCATTAGATTTCAGTTAGTGAGCTCTGCATTTCTGACAGATACATGTTATTATGCCATAAACAAGTTATTTTGGACATTACATTTAAGGGTTTTTTTCCTTTTTTTTTTTTGTAACTTCACGCATCAATTTTGTTCTTTCTTTAGGTTATTTTGGTCCTATGGTCTTCCAGCTCTGTATATCTACAGCTTTTAGGATCACAATCCTCCTTCTTTTTGCCAGCTTAATTAATGAATATTCTACTTGAGTTCTAAATCCCACTTATATCCTTCCCATGACTTTTTATTTAATAACTGCCTATATCCTCAGCAGCCACTTCCTTACCCTTAGTTTAATTCCTGTAGTATTAGTGTTTAACCTTCTCCAGTGTAACTTGTACATTCCCAATTGCTAGAGAGATCTGATGTGGAATCCTGTATTTCATGAGTCAGCTGCTTTTAATTTCTGAGATGAAGAATGTTTGATTTTTACCTGCATCTCATTTTTAGCTTTTATCCCATCTGCCATCTTGCCCCTGCTCCTGTATTTATCATAATCTGTCACACTTCAAACATTCATTTACTGTTGACATCCTACTTAAACTATCTAAATTACCTCTTTCCTTAGCAATCACATTTTTTCTTAGTTCTCCTATTGCTTAATTGTTCTACTATTTAGTCTTGTTCCTTTACAAGATCTAACTCAGCTCGTATTTTGGCAGCTCTCAATTGATCCCTCTACTTCTTGACCTGAAAAATATGGCTTTTCCCTTCAAATATTGAAATACCCAGGAAAAGCTTCTGTCCTTGGCTTACAAAGAAAACCAAACGAGACCCAAAACCAACTATACGTGCTCCAACTATAGTTCACAAAGTTTTCAAACTCAGCCAAATCAAAATCAATTTTTGCTGGGTCTCTGTTTAGCATCTCTTTTGCCCAAGGGCTATTTCCCTGCCAAGTTGCTGCTTTTGCTCCCACCCATTTCAGCGTTCTTCAGACTGTTCAAAATTCAAGTGAATATGGATCTAATCTACAAGGTAGAAAAGGAAGTAATACCTTGATCAAATTCTAATGCAATATGTTTTGTAGAACAAACAGTTCTTTCCTCCAGTTCTGTCCCAAAAATTCTAAGGAGACTTTCAGGTAAGTATGGAAAGGAAGAAAGTGTTACAGATGAATCTAGAGGCATCTGTCTTCTAGATAAGTAGTGGGGTTTCTGCTTTGGCTGTAATTAGCCAATATTCTTAAAGATCCTTATGCAGCCAAATCATCTCTTCTTATACCCAGAGCTGAGAAATCACTGGAGTATATTTGCAGCATTCATGTGGCTTAGAGGCTTCCACAAGTATAGCCTTATTTTTTTAGGATAGTTATATAAACAGTAAAGCCCTTTGAACAGGAGGGCTTCTATAAGCAGTTCTTTATAATGTTACTGTCAACATCAGCAATCCCTTCTCTTTGGGGAACTTGGATGTGATATAAAAGTTGTGTTCCATAAAATGAAAACCAAAAAGGCTCCTTATGACATCAGTTACCACACCTCGCTCGGGTAACCCTAAACCATACCAAACACTGTCCTTTTATACTGATAATTTTGCTCTTTAGCCTTGAGCATCCAGATAAGAAACTATGAAGGGCCATTTTTCATGGTATATGCTGCATTTAATGTTTGATTGGATGAATCAGCAATAGGCAAGTTTGTAGATCAGAACTGTATTACAGGAAAACGTGTTTGTGCTAAAAGGAGGTAGTAGGGTGAGATTCTAGGCTGGGCAACAAAGAAGAACAGAAAAAAACAAGAAGGGTGAATAAATCTGCAGGACAGGGCTGGTCCAGCATCTCTGCTCAGAGAGGCTGTGCTGCCTGTGAGGAGTGAGCAGCTCTCACAATTACATTGGCACAGCACCTTGGAGAGGTGAGAAGGAACAGTCTGGAGTTAATGTGCCAACAACTGGTGTTTTAGAAGAAGCCTGGATTTTATTAAAGGTCTTGGCTCGGGACAGCAAATGAGGCTGGTTCAAAGCCTGTCTTTAATATCAAGTATCAAGGTTTCTGACTGTCTGAAAGAAAGACTCATGAAAAGGTCTGGATTACTACAGACCACTGAAAAACCATGAGTAAGATTTCTCAATTAGGAATGTAATGCTAATTAGACTTTTTGGGTCAGCCTGGGTGGGTTGGCTAATTAGCCAAAGTAATATACCCATGTGATTGGCCTGGAGTGTGGGTGAGGTTCCTGGAAGCACCAGGTGATATCTGGTGGAAAAAAAAGGATGTGTGGGTGGTAAAATCAGGACAGCTGCAGTCAGTGACTGGAGAGGGGGAAATACATCTTCAACAGAAAATGCACAAAGGCTCTAAACTTTCAGAAGAGTTTAGGTAAGGATTAGCAAGCTCCTATAATGTTTATTGAAAGCTTAATTTAGGATAAAATAATTTCTTTGTAAGATGGGGAGATATGCAGGTTGCATGAGTGCTGGTGTTGTCAGGCCAAGTCACTTCAGTTGTGTGATAAAACCCAAGACCATTTCAGGGCAAGAACAAATGGCCGATTTGCTTCATCCTCGAAGCATGGAGGAGACAGAGGCCCTGCAGTTGTTGTTTTAACATTAAAGTAGATGTGAATTTAAACTGCCAGCCTGTGTTTTCAGTTTCTAAATAAAACATGAATTTTACCTACATAATCTTTTGTTTCAGGAGAAAAATGATAACACTCATGTTCTTCCTAGTCACCCTCTGCCCCTGCAGAGAACACACAGGTTGGGTTATGGCCCTGCCTAAGCCTACCATATGGTGATCACAGTCCTTGTGATTATGAAATATTACGTGTGCTTGCTGACAAAGCCACCTGGTCTGTTCGGTGCTTCAGAAAAGAACTCTTGGACTTCCTTAGGCCCAGTGCCTGTGGTTTCCTCTGGGAGCACTGGCTGTGTCCCAGGGGGCTCTCTGCGGTGCCCGGGCACAGAGGAGGCTGCCAGGTGCACCAGAACAATGGCATAGGAAAAGACTTGGCTCCTCCAGGGCAGCTTTTCAAGGTTTCCACTGTGGGCTGATTGCCCCGGTCTCCAGGGAGCTCCTGCTGGAAAAGCACATTGTTCCAGTGAGCGTTTCTACGGAGTGGATCCCACAAACACTCCAGGTCCTCAACATGCAGAGGAGAGCACGGCAGCTTTTACATGTGGTTCAGAAAACTAGAGGAAGGAGGGAAACAAGACAGAGAGGACTTTAACCCACACTGAGGCAGTACAAAAATTTCTGCTGGCTGTGTCTTTCCTTACAAAATTCTCTTATTTTCTGTATTATCCTCATCCTCACAACGATGCTAACCGAGAACTATGTAACTGGGCCAGGTCATACAAGGAGCAGAGTTTGTACGTATCGTTTTTATTCCTCATTTGGGCTTCTGAAGGTTGGTAACACTGAATAATTTGAGTTTTAGACCTGTCCTCTGTCCTTTTATTTATGTAGCTGAAGCAGACAAAGCAATTTGCAACAGCTGCATGTGATGGAGAGTTGTCTTGTAACATTTGAAACTGTAAGTGCTGGATTGCTGTGCAGGAATTCACAGCTCAATGACTAAGATTTATTCTGTAGTTATAAGATCAATTACAAATCTACCAGGAAAAAACAGTAAGCCTTGCAAGAAACATGTTTAATTGATTTTACATTTACTATTTAATAAATTCTGAGGGTTTTCCCTCTTGACAGATGGCAATTTAATTTCTGGATTCTTAAAGAGAAAAAAAACCCCTAAGCTATTATGCCCAATGATTTAACGTATTTCACATTTCAAAATATTAGAGATGGGAGGATGTTCTGCTCCAAGGTTTTGGTTCAGGCCCATCTTTTCCTCTCAACAAGTTTACATGTGAAAAAGATACTGCCAAATAAATCTCCTGTTTTGAAAAGTTAAGTATTACATGTGTTTCTAATAACATGTCAGATGGAGTAGCATGAAGTAATTTCAATTATTTTTATTATTTGTCTGTGGGGTTTGCTTTCTTCTTTCATTCTGCTTAGCAAAACACTTAACCTAGAGCAGACCATGTCCCCATTTACAGTCAGTGAATCAAAGTGAAACTATCGCTGCAAAACACCCTGCTGTGCTCACACTTGTGGATACAAGTGAACAGAGTTAGAAATAAATTATTTCTTAAATTACACAGGGGTATCTGTTGAAATCCATTTCCTAGTCAGTCTATCCTAAAAAAACCAGAGCAGAAGTACTGAGATACAGAAAAGTCATTCACAGTTCTAGGAACTGAAGAGAAAGACCTTGCACAAATGGAGGTAGGTTTGAGCAGGCATTCCCTGTGTTGTGATCACATGCTGCAAAGAGAAAACACTTTTTTTAAGAGCTTTGGATTAGCCCAGGATTCATATATCATGTCAGACAGCAACTAAATTAAAAAATGTTATCTGGAATAAATTTCAAGTGTATGTTCAGCCCCAACACTAAAGAGGTTTCTAATGAAAATAAAGACAAATTAGTGGAAAATTGGAACTAAGCTACTCTAATTTTTTTTCTCTTCTGTTTTCAAATGTATTTTCCAGAGTGGATCACTAAAGGAGCCAGAGCCAAACAAAATCCCACCTCAGCGACCACCACCTCAAGGTTGTTTACAGTACATTCTCGACTGTAATGGCGTTGCAGTAGGACCAAAACAAGTCCAGGCTACTTAGATAATTGAGACTAAAAGCAAGGGTTAAAGCAAAAATGAAAAAAAAAAAAGAAAAGAAAAGAAACAAACACACAATCTTAAAAGCAAACATCCCAATTTTGTTCAGTTTTTGCATTGTTTCAGTGCTGACCTGGACTGTGTTTTTTCTATGCAGTGTCAACTCTCCCGTCTGGTTGTTTCCTTGTTCCTGTCTGTGCGTGTAATGCTTTACCAACCTTCCTCTGTAAAACTCGTGATTTCAGGGCTGTTGTCAACGGTGTACAAAGAATGTGCCTCTCTAGAGCCCCGTGCAACTGTACATTATGGATGGTTAGACAGTATTTTTGGAGTATTATATATGTATATCATTCAGTAAAATACCACCGAGGTGCAAATCTAAATCTTTTTGCTTACTCTGTGAGTGTGTGCACACTGTACTCATAGCCTATATTTTTGTGTGCATGACTAATAGGTAGGTGATCCAGATATATTTTTAAAAGTCTAGATTAGAATTTGCTAGTGAGGCTTTTTATTTATAATTTTATAAAGTTTATTAACATTTGAGTTTTACTTATACGCAAGTGGAAGTCTGATATTTCAGTGACTCCATAAAATACAGTTCTTCCCAAGGAATATTTAAAATATCTTCTATTTTACATACTGGTATTCATATTTTTAGTAAATCTGCATTAAATTATTAGCTACAAAGCTATGTAAATGGGCCACCTATGTGCAATATCTCAGTGAAAGTGTATTTAATGTATCCTATTTCAATTAAGTAGTACCTTTTGTTGTCATTCTGAATTAGTAATCTATGGATATTTTTAATGAAAACTAATGCAAATACTTTCAAAAAATCTTATACTTACCTAAGATTTAAATCCCAGGTTGTTTAGTGAGAAGTACCTCAAGGACTGTTAAACTTTCTATAAGAGCTCATTTTTTTTCAAATACTGAGATGTGAAGGGATGGCAGACCAAGGTACCTTTAACCAGCCAGGGATGTTGCTCTTGGATTAGAATGCAAGACAAAAGTGTCAGTGATTTTCTTTACCAACTCAGGTCTATCTACTGTTTTACACCTAGAGTTATCCAGATAGTTATAAAGAAAATCCAGTCCCGACATTGTCCACATTAATAGCGTTTATAATAATTGCTTGACATCAAAGATGCAAAAAGACTTGAGATGCCTGACAAGTGCTAGATTTTCTGTAGGTAAATTATTTGTGATTTTTACAGAACCAATTTACAATGTGATGGTATGAGAACTCCACAGGCAGGCAGTTAATCTGTTGTGAGAAATCTAGCCCAGAGTCACAGGCTGCACACTACTGGCATACCAGAGAGCTTAGTTGCAAATGAGCCACAAAACTATAATTTTCGTCTTGAATATGTACAAAGATGAGTAGTGGCCATTAGTTTCATGCAAACAATTATGTTTAAAGGGAAAACAGCCTTATGTTCTACTTCTGTTTTCCCTACAAGCACTGGAAAAAATTATCAGTGAGTCTCATCATTCTTAGTGTTTCTTTTATTTGTACAAGCTGGCTGGTGAGATGAGAATTAAGGTATGCATTATTAGCTATTTAAATGTTTGTGGTAAGTGCTACTGTTTACTACCTATCAGTAAATTACATGAATATTTTGCTTTAGTGATCAGCATTTGTCTGGGTCAGTGAGCATTCCAATGATGGCATTGGCTGTTTTGTTCTATATTAAGAAAATTTCACTTAGAATCAGGTTCACAAATCCTTCCCTCCAGACACCCTAAAAGTGAAGAAACCATACTGCCCTGGGGTGGAGAAATGAATCTGATGACTGATTTTCTTTCAAGCAGTTGGTATTTTTTTTTGCATGGAGTAGTACCAGTGATCACAAGTGCTTTTCACACGACATTTGTGTGCTGTGTGTGAACAGAAGGGTGTTCCAGGCAGGATTTCAGCCTGTTGACTGTCAAGGATTTGCAGGGGCACACAGTATTCCTACATCCCACAGCCAAGACACAAGCCAAAATGTCTCTCTGCATGTCAGCATGCTTAGGTGCAATATTGTGGGTAACAGGGAACAGATGTTTTACAGTGTAGGCTTAATGTTCAGTTTTGTTGACTTATTTTTGGTAAAAGTTTCTTTCATGATTGTTGCCTTTTGTACAACCCAGCTGCAAGAAAGTGAGCAAACGCTGGAAATGTGACAGCAGTATATCTTTTATGTGAAATATCTTGTACAGCTTAATGTGCAATAAAAGAAAGTTATATCTGTCTTCAGTGTAAAGTTTCTGGCATTCAAGCCTGTATGTACAAGTGGGGGAAAGAAACCTTTCTGGGTTTCAATATTGAGTGAAAGGAGACTAATAAGAAAATGATCCTTATTAAGATGTTGCAAGACCATGTTATCACCTTCAAATATTTCCTACAAAAGTGGTTCAAATTAATAAACAATGAAGGCACATTCCTTAACATACAGTACGTGCTATTTATCTTTCTACACCACACTAACACACTGCTACAACTGTATGAAAACTTACTGAAGCATTAGCACATGCTGTTGTCAGACACATACGCTGGAATCTCATGTAGCAAGGGGAAAACTGACTATACTAGCAATTTAAAACCAAAAAACCACATGTATTGCAGTGGTACCTCCAGATACGAAGGTTTTCTTTTAAGACCTGAGTAGATGAAGTCTTTTACTTGCACTAAATATCTGTGTAAGACTAAAAATTCCCAAATATCTGGAACATCTAGATCAGTTGTGTTCTACTACTGTTCAGCAAGGCCCTTTTCCTGAGTGAAACATGATACAAACAAATACTCAGAATTTCACCCCATCCTTTCTTCCCCTAAAGGCAGGTGTCCTGTGTGCATGTCACATGCAAGAATTAAGATTCAGTTACAACATTCAGTCCAGAAAACCACAATCAGACATGGGATATGAGATAAAAGCAGCCCACTGATATCTGACACAGCACTATTTCAGTCAGAAAGCAGAAAAAACCCTGCTGTATGATGATGTAGCATCTTTCAGCCATGGATTTCACAACCTAAGTCTCTACTACACGTTGCATTTTCACACTTAATGCAGTAGCTTGCTAGGATCCTTCCTTTTCAGTGGAAAGATCATCTTGGTGAAGAATTAGTAATGACTTTCTTGTGTTTCTTGTAATGTTCTTGACATATCTCACTAAGGGGTTAAGTAAGTTATTAAAATACTTTAAATTAGCCAGAAAATTTCAGTATAAAGTTGTTTTACTGCTGTAAGAGTGAATCTGAGAGGACTATTACAGAAAAAATTTTAAAACTTTGGAGGAACAAAACTGCAGTAACTACACAGAAAATAGTAACTGTATTGCTGAAATAGATATTACTGTTATTTCACAGCCTCTCCTTAACTCGAGCCAACATTATTCTGGGTGTAACTCCGTTGAAGTCAGTACCTCTACTGCTGGGATAAATTGGGTACTATTTAGCAATTTAAAGGGTGAATCATGGGTGCTCCAAGCAAGTTACTAATGTACCGAGTGTGATTAGTAGTATTGACTACATGACAGTACGATCCATATTAATAGAATTTTGCCTCAGAAGTAGAATTAATCACGTTCGAGGATTATTTTAAAGTGTTGGATATGAAGTCTAATAAGGACTCTTTGAAACTATAAGATTATGAAGTTTTTCTTGTGCTGAACCTAGGGGGCCCAGTGCAACCCCAAGGAATGCAATCCCAAAGCCAGGAGCCATTGCAGCCCCAGCGCATGTTCCCCCCTGGGCAGTCAGCAAAGCCCTCAACTTCCCAGCCACAGCGGCCACCCGGACCCACCACCCAGCAGCCACGGCCCCAGGCTCAAGGTCCTCCCAGCACCAGATTATCAAAGGAAGCAGAGCCACAGCCACAGCCACAGCCACAGCCAGCTCCACAGCCAGCTCCACAGCCTGCTCCACAGCAGAAGCCTCAATCTCATCCACAACTTAAGTAAGATTTGCTTTATCCATTTTCTTTTCTCCTCGTAACACAGATCTTGTTGCCATATCTGTAAATTGGGAGTTGGGCTAATATTCAGGAAAAAAATGGACTTATATTTGCAGGTTTAAAATGAGGTTAAAGTATTTCAAAATATTCAAAGTATTTTAATATTTTGGGTGATGGAACAGGCTCCCCAGGGAGCAGCACCAAGCCTGAGAGCTCAAAGGAGTGTTTGGATGATCCTCTCAGGCACATGGTGTGAGTCTTGGGGGTGGTCCTGTGCAGGACCAGGAGTTGGACTCAGTGATCCTTGTGGGTCCCTTCCAACTTGGTGTATTCTGTGATTCTGTGATACCTGTTTATGGTTAGTAATTCAGTATCATCTGTTATATCCTAAGCACTGCACAAAATTTCATTTAGTAGTTGTGCAATCTCTGCCCTAGTGAGGTCTGAAAACACATCGTCTTTCTCCTCTTTGTTTCCTCCTTTTGGTGCCACTGACTCACAAGCTGGGTGTGCTATAAGTCTGCACACAAAGAGGAAGTCTTATCTATTTAAACTTTTAACCTTACAGTCACTCAGACAACAGATTCCATTTCCAAAGGCCTATCTCAGAAACAATCCCAGTGAACACTTTGGACAGTGGCTGCCAAATTGTTTCTTTACAGCTGCACTTGGTCCATGTTTGGGTGGTGGCACTGACTGTGATGCACAGAAAAGGCTGCACAAAACAGTCTCTGGGTATCTCACTTCTGGAAGATTCCTTACAGTAAGGAATATGGAAAGGATTCCCCCTCACAGCTTAAACCCAGCCAGAAACAGAAAACTTGGGGAAGTTTTTAGCAATGATTTGCAGTTTTTCAGCACATAAATCCTATTGCTGGTGGAATCACAGGCACATTCTCCTTAGTTTGGTACATAAAAGACTGGCATGTAGGCTTTGTTTCATCCCAGGAACACAGATCCCCTTGTTCCACCCACTCGTATGTTAACAGTGGTGGGAAACAACTCTGAGTCCTCCCCTGAGCCCCGTTGAGTGGCAGAGAGACGTTAGATGACAATTTGCAAAGATGAGGGTATTTTCCTTGCCTTCACAGGACAATGTATTTCTTTATTCTGTTTTATAATCATAAAAAAGTTCATTGATCCTTCATTTAAGTATACATAGTGAATAGAGAGGTCGATTTTCTTAAGCAAGATGGAAACTAGTTTGTAGTTTGAAACTTGACAACTCCTGACATTGAAGAGAAGCAGCTAAGAACAGTTACAGGACTGTACCATATACTCATTTCCAGCTTTCTCCCTTTAGTTCTTTGTTCACATCTAGATTCATTTTTCTCTTCTTCAAATGGAAGAGTGTCTATTTAAAACAAAATAACAAAGGAGAAATTAAAGTTTTTAAGATGTAAGTCATAATGAGAGTAGTTTTTCTGACTTTCAGAAGCAGTTTTACATCCACACCAAGGCTCAGATCTCCTGCCTGTAGGATTAACTCTATTTGCATGTGTATGCTTTGTATTCACCCACATGCTGTTGCCTAACCTGTATGTACATGTTATTAATCTGTGAATAAATATTTAATTAGGCTACTTATTGTGTTACTAATCAAGTCAAGTGCTGCTTCCCACCCTCCCTCTTTCAGTGAGTACAAACAAACATTTATCAGTCTATTCTCATTAGCACAACTATAATTTATGAAAAACCTAAAACGCCTGTAGCACTGTTTGCTGTACATTATTAGTTTAGAAGTAGAGAGGCTGCAAACCATGAAGAGTCTCAAGCAATCAGAATAAGAAAAGTGTTTCAGTTTTACTATAGCCAAAACTGAATTCTATTGTACTGAGATAAAAATGAAATCAGTTAACTAGTTTTACTAATGGAGGGATGTCTTTGTAAGAAGTTTGTAACTCAATTATGTATTCTATTTAAATTCAAGCCTATTTTTTAGATATTATTTTAATTGACAAATCAGGAGTTAAAGATTTAAATTTTAGCTATTTTCTTTCTTGTTTTCCTTGTGTGTTATGTGTTTCACGCTTATGGAAACTCACACAGAAGTTACATGATAGCACTAAGGATGGAGTAGCATTGCTAGACTAACTACCTATAGGCAAGAAAAATTATATCTGATTTGCAGTATTTTTTAAAGCTATAAACTGTCATTAAGCCTCCATTAAGGATCTAATGTCCAACATATATATATAGAGAGAGAGAGAGAAAGAGAGAGCACATTACAACTTTCGGATTCATTCTTCAAACTCTTGCCAATATACCTAATTTTTCTTTGTGCATAATTGTTTGCAGCCTTAACAAACCCAATTATTAGTCGTCCATGTTTGGTTGTGATTTAGATTTAGTAGGCAGGCCCCCATTTCCCTCAGGTTCTAATTTACACCATCCAGTTTACTGGAATACAATGTTTCAGATCTGTAAAAAGAAAACAAACCATCAGTGTGTGCCTTAAAAAAATATTTTCCTCAGATATTAAGTCAAAGTGCAGGATGAATGTAGTGGGTTGCCCATAACTGTGTTGCTTGTGGTCAATGCCCATTTTGTTCACTGTCTACGGAATGGCCTGAAATTGTGCCAGGGCAGGGTCAGGTTGGATCTCAGCAAAAGATTCTTCCCCCAGAGGCTGGTTGGGCACTGCCCAGGCTCCCCAGGGCAGTGGGCACAGCCCCAAGGCTGCCAGAGCTCCAGGAGGGTTTGGATGATCCTCTGGGGCACAGGGGGTGACTCTTGGGGATGGGCCTGTGCAGGGCCAGGGGTTGGACTGGATGATCCTTGTGGGTCCCTTCCAACTCAGCACATTCTGTGAGTCTGTGATTTTCCTGTTCTCCTCACTGGCACAAGTGCTGAGTGGACAGAAGCTGGGGGACAATGTGACCACACCAAACCTGTTGTGTTTTTGTCTTGCAGCAAGTCGCAGTCTTTGACAAATGCCTTCAGCTTCACAGAATCCTCCTTCTTCCGGTCATCTGTGAATGAAGACGAAGCAAAAGCTGAAACCATCCGAAACTTGAGGAAATCCTTTGCTAGTCTCTTTTCTGATTAGCCAGCTTCATCTAAATGCACCCAACATATAGTCTGAAAACTCCGTGAATGTTCCATAGGTTTTGTTTTCCCTGTGCCAGTACCCTTCTCTACTGTGCTAACTGTTGTATTAAGCAATATGTTAAACTTACAGAAAAAAAATAAATAGCAGGAGGACTTTGATGAGATCCCGTCCATGAACATGTATAAACATCTGTAAAGAAGGAAAGGTTCAGTTGCTACCACAGAATGTTGAAGTCTAAGGTCCTTATCCATTGTAATATTGTGGCCTTACTGTGACTGAAGTATATAATCCTATTTGAGACTCCTTTGTAGAATTGTGTTAATAAAGCATTGAGGAATGGGTTTCTCCTTGCTTTACCCATTCCCAATGCATTGCAATGCATGTGTATTTTGTGTGTAAATGTTTTGTACTGCAAAAGTATAGTCTTGACTTGTTCTTGCCTCCCAGATTTAGGAGGCAATTCACACTGGCATTGTCAAGCCACATAAATAATGTGAGAAATTGAAGCAGTTTCTTCCTCCTTATACAATCCTTCCATCAGCTGGTTGTAGACTTCTGATGTATTGCTGAGAGTTATCAGTACAATAAATGTCATAAATAGAGTGTAAATGTACTACTGTATCTCCATATGTCTATTTAAATTTATTTCCAAACTGTAACCATAACTGGGTTTAGTTGCAAAGAATATGCATGATGTTACCCTTATTTTTGTGAACACCTTCTAATAAATGTAAAGTCCCATGCCTGATTTAAAAAAAATGTCTTCTACAAAGCTTGTTTTAATGTCAATATATATTGTCTATTTTGAGTGATATCAAAAGAGTAGCTTTATGATTATAAAATATTTGGACACAAACCACAGCTGTAAGAAAATAAACTATCACAATTAATTCCTTTGTTGAATCAGCATAATAAAAAATGTATAAATTCTGGGAATCACATTTACATTTTCTAATAAGTAACGTCTTTTAAAAATACTTAACTTGTGAAAACATAAATAATCCCAGACTTTCAGGTAGTAGCTGCATTTAAAAAAAAAATTCTAAATCAAACTGAAGTTCATTAGTAATCTCTAGATTATCCATTTCCAAAAGATTATCGGGTCTTTTTGCCTATGACACGGTATTCCTTGCCAGGAAATGGTGCTAAAAGGGGAAACAAGAAAATAATAACTGTAATATTAACATGTCTGAGGGAGAAAAAGAGCAACACCACAGTAACTTAAAAACCAAATGGGTTTTGTAATGGGTTTGTAGAGACACATCTGTTTGCCTCAGAAATTTTAGCTCCTGTAGATCTGGTAGTTTATGAAGCCTGGGTAAATCAGAGTCAACCTTTGCTGCCATCAGTCCTGTCAGCAGTTTTGGATTCCTTTGGGTGAGGAGCCTGGCTGGGGCTGGGAGGTTGGCAGTGAGGAATGGAAACTTGGCTGTGCAGTGATGTCAGCCCTGGGCTCGGACAGGAGCCTCGGGTGGCTCTGCCTGTCAGAGCCTTGGCTTGGCTGAGGACCTGAGCACACGTTCCCTGAAAAGCAGCATGGCCAAATCCCTCACAGCCAACACAGTTGGCACCTTTGGGCACTGACGGCGAGGACTGACTCTGTTCCAGAGTTCAACAACAGTGCCCAGAACAATGCAGGTGAAGACTAAAAGGAATTTCTGGGTGAGTTTGCACTGCAACATTGGAAACAGATGCAGAGCATTGCCCTCTGTAAGATGGAATCTCAGTCCCTCACCTTTGGAATGACCCTCGGAGGAGCTCTCTTACTCACTGACAATTCTCTCTTCTTTCAGGATGAATGCACTGTGTACAGAAGCCTGTAGTTTAGTCGATGAATTCTGTGACAAAACCAGAATGCTTTAACAGTTAAGAGTTTATATTAGTTCATATATATCAGCTATACTTTGATTTTTTTCAAGCTTTGTCCTCCTCACTGGATTGAAACACCCTCCACTGGGCTGCAATAACAACCTTGAGCACTTACAGAGCCTTTCATGTCTGAGAGGCACTTTACTTTTAGATTAGAAAGATTAATCAAAGTTGCTAACACAAATTAATTACTGCTACAGAGAAAGCATAGTAATTATGCATAGTTTGGCATGTGTCGTGATTAGTACATGCCTAGTTTCAGCAATATTTAGTACAATATGAATTACAGGTAGTTCATTAGTCCAGCCCCAGATTTCGACTTGAGGCAAAGTTTCTCGCTCATATAAAATTCCCTCCCACCTCTTCCTGGGAGAAAACGGGTTTCACTACAGTCTTTGTTTTACCATCTGGAACGAAAATAAGAAAGAAAGGAAAGAAAAAAGAGAGCAAGATGATGCAATCAAATCTGCATGGTGTATCCTCCCACACAATGTACATAACACATTGCCTCTCCACAATGCCAGAACTTCTTTATGCCTCCGAGCGTGCTAAAGCGTGTTGCACACAAGCTGGTGCCTGCTTGTGTTCCTCCTGCAGTGCTTCATGTTTAAGACATTTCTAAGCAATCTATAACACATCTCCAAAATACTAATCCTGAAAAAAAAAGAGTTTTTAGGAAAAGTCTGTTCAATCTTGGATAGTCCATTTTGTCTTGCTTCGTTAAAGAGGCTGTGCTTCAGCTTCATGTGCAAGCTCTGCACACCCAGTTATCCAGTGGAATGCTGTGTAGGGATGCACAAATGGTAACACAGGAGTGGCTGTGGTTGCTCATCTCTATGAACCTCAGCCCAGGAACACAAAGGCTGTACTTCATTTGCACCTTTCCATGCAAACGCAGCTTACGATGCCACAGGTTTCTGTGCGTGGCACCCCATCCTTTGCATCTTTCACTTATAAATCAGGATAGTGTGAAGGCTACAAGAGCTACTAATCAAGTTTAGTCTTGAGATTGAGATGGAGCCACTTTCTGACCATTAGGCCTGAAGCCAATTCAAAACACTGAAGCAGATTTCAAGAGATTGTAATTATGGTCAGAGTGACTAATCTAGCTTTGAAACAACCACTAACTCTCCAGTAAAAATTAGTCAAAATAGTACTAAGGTACTTTGTAAACACTGTGTGAGCTTTGCATACTTCCTACTTCACTCAAACAAAGTCCCTTCTCTGAGCCAGCGTTGGCTCCATGACCAGCTCACGTACACTAAAGCTCCTGTTTGCAGAGTTGAGAAAGTCAGGGCGTGTTGTCTGGGCACGGGCAGGGCTGCTGCCACTGCTCGGTTCAATACCACAAACAAAGTTCCCAGCCAGTTGTCCATCAAGAGCAGCTGCCAGCAAGGAAGCAAGAGGCTGAATAAGTCCAGCCCAGCTCTCGAGTGCTTTTTCAGGTGTCGTATCTCAGCAGCCCTATCTCCATCTATCTCAGGAACCAGGAGAGCCACACGGGCCGGCGGGGATGAGCTGGGATCTGGGGAGACCTGGGCCACACCAGCTGGAGGCTGGGCAGGGTAGATAAAGGTGATCCAAAAGGGCACTACTTGCCAAGGGTTGGGACTGAGTTTCCTTTTCTCTCTGGACGCTCAGCTGTCCCATCCTTCAGAACCATTCCAACTTCCAACACAGAGTAAGAGGCAACTTAATTGAGCTCTACCTTTGTGCTTCCCCTGGCAAAACAAAGCTGTTTAGCTGCAAACAAAGAGGCATTTGCAAATTTTGATCGCTAGTAGAGTTTATTTTTCCACACCAAAAGTAACTAGGATTGATTATTCACTCACAGCAATTTAAGAAAACTCACCTAAACTATCACACGTGCCACTACAGATGAATTTAAGTTCTGAAAAACAATACAGGTCTCCAACATGGAAATGCCTTTTATTAGACACACATTTTAAAAGAGGAAGAATTCAAATAATGTCTATAGCATCGAGTTAAGTCCTTTAAATTTAAAATAAGCCAGGAAGAATGACAGAAAGATTATCCCCCTGTTTGACATTAAGATAACCCAGGAGAAACACGTTTGAGGGGTTTTTTCCCTCACAAATAACAATACAAAAAATTAGAAAGAGGATCAGTTTAAACAAAACAAAGAAAATTAAAAGAATTTGTGGCTTTTACTGGGACTGGAGTTTTAACTTCTTTTAGCAGTGGTAGATGTGGTGTTTAAAAACTGATCCACTTCATATCATTTAACACTGCAGTTTCCCAGTACAGGATGTGTACGATGGAGAGGGTCCCTGGATTTACAGCTAAATCTCCATTCTATAAAAGTAATGGATGGTAACAGGTAAAACGGAAGGTAACCTGACAATGGATGTGACTGGGAGCAAACTCATTATTCATGGGTTTTATCAGCGTTTTTCTCCTCTCCTATTTCTACTTTCCACGCACGTGCCTGTTTCTCTGACTAGTCCCAACGAGCAAAATTCTACTTCAAGGCTTCATAAGCTCTGAGGAGCCATTTTTTATTTAAAGTCAAGATTTGGAGTTGTCATCATTGCCTGCACTTCCCAACACCATGAAGGCAGTGACAGTAAGCAGTAAAAAATGGAAGCTGACTGTTCATGTTCTTCCCTCGCTTTCTTAACTAAGAATGAATTTTTGGTAAGAGATGCTGTAGATTTAAAAAACACCTACACAGTCAATACAAAAGAACTGTTGTCTCTCCAGATGAGAAAAGAAAGATGAGAAATGTGGGCTGGTACTTAACCCTTTTTTAGTTTGGGAGCTACTTCTCAGAAGTCTATTACAAGTGTTTGAGTGACAAGCACTTTTCAGAGGTGAGGTGGTGTAAGGACTTAAAATTATACAGCTCGATCTGCTCCATCAGTCACAGAATTTCTGCAGTGAAGAAACTCTAGATAGTACTTCAGATACCTGAAACTAAAATTAACAGGAGCTGTGCTTCATTAGTGTACCACGTTCCCTTTTGAGGTTGTAGCAAAACCTAAAGTGTGGATTTCTTTTTCCTATAAGAACAGTGAAGATGATGATCCAAAGAACTAACATGGACCATGGATGTTAGACTATTAAGAGTTCTGCCACTAAGGAAAAGCAAGATAAGCTGATGCTTCTTTTCCACTGCCCCTTAGATATTTCACATAAAATTCTGACATTTCAGTCTCCTGACATTTTGTTTGTGGGAGCTGGGGCTATTGAGCAAAATTTTTCAGACAACCAGAAAAATACGTTGATGTGAGAGGAGATAGATATTTATTTATTTATTTCCCACCCACCACAATAAAACCTGAGCATCTCACAGCCTCACTCCTACCATGCCTCCTCCCCTGAAGCTGAGTGGGGCAAAGCATCCTTTCACTAAGTGCACAATGCCTTAAGCCAACACCTCGCTTGCCAAGGGTGCTCTAGCTGGAGATCTATTGTACAGATCTCTCCAACTGGTGATTATGTAAATCTTCCAGATGGGCCCTTTAAACAGTAGATTGCTATCCTGATTCTATCTATCGTCACTAAATACTTCATAATTCTGGCTGGTTCAAGCCAAACTGCTGCAGTCTCTGCTTTTTGCACGTTTTTCTTTCTTTGCAACCCATGGTAACTGTAGTTTCATGAGAATGGGGATATCTTAGGCATGCTTTCCCCATGTACAATTTTTTTATCCTCAGTCATGCACAGCCTGAGCCTACAAACTCCACTGGCCTCAAGCAGTAAGAAACATAGTATGCTACGAAAAGGCTGCCACTAGAATTTAGTGTGCAAACAAATCGTGCTGCCAGGGTGACACACGGACTCACAGTCCACGTGTGATTTGTCTCACACAATAGATCCGCCAAACAGTTCTCAATGCCAGGTACTCCAGCTTAAGAAAAAGGAAATGTTCCTTTCCTCCCCTCTCCTTGTGGGGAAATGGAAATTAGTCACTCCCAATCCACTCACTGAACCAGGACTAATTACTACCCAGAAATGATGGTAAATCCCAACTGTGCTGGGCTGCAGTGAACTGTTTGTCTTGGGGACAATTTCAGTATCTTAGCAGCCAGTGCTGGAT